GGGGGGGGGGGGGGGGGGGGGGGGGGACACGATGGAGATGGAGATCCCTGTGTCCCCCTCCTCCCTCCCCCCGTGTGCTGTTTTGGGGAGGGGGCTGCGTGCTGTGTGCTGTGGGGTGAGGTTTGTCGCTCCCGCTGCCCCCATTAAACTCTGCCGGGTGGTGTCCGTGTGTCACCCCATCGTGTCCAGGGGGGGGGCATAGAGGTGATGGGGAGGGGGAGGAGATAAGCCTGCAGAGCCCCTGTGCCCCCCATCCCTTCCTTGCAGCAGCTCCCATTCCCCCCCTCATCCCGAATGTGGGACCCCCCTCTCCCACGGGTGGGGGCAGTAGGGTGGGTGCTGTGCCCCCCCCCGGGCCCTTCCTGCTATGTGCTTTTCTCCATCCACTGCTGCAGGATCTGAGCTCCGGGCGATGCTGCCCTCGCCTCCCCCATCCCCCCCCCCCTCCCGGGGAGGTGGAGAAGAGACCACCGCTGTGTCTCCATCCCATGCTGGGACCACCCCAAAGCTGTGGGACCCCCCCACCTGCACCACAACTATGCAAAGCTGGCTCTGCTTGGGGGGGGGGGGGGGGGGGCTGCACCTGGGGGCGAGGGGGGGTCTGGGCTGTGTGTCAGCAAGTCACCCAGCAGGGCACGGGATGCTGCTGGGGGGTTCCGAATGCTCCTCGATGGCGTGGGGGGGCTCACCCAGCCCAGCTTTGCCCCCACCCCCCAACTCCACACCATGCTTGCCAGGAGGAAGATGTGTGGGTAGGAGGATGGGGGCTGTTTGCCCCCCAACCCAGGGCTGGCACAGGGGGGGCAGAGACCCAATAAAGGACTTTCCTCCCATGCCTGGTGTCTGTGTCGTGGTTACCACCTCCTCGTGTCCCCTCTCCCCATTAATTGACCCTGGGGGGGGATGGGGAGGGGGGGATGGGGTCACTATGGGCGTGCATTGATGGGGAAATGATGGAGATACGATGGGGACACGATGGGACACCACGGGGACACACAGGGTGGACAACCTGTGGGGATGTGTTGGTGGGGACATCATGGGGACACGGCGGGGACGTTTTGGGGATGCGAGGGGGACGCAGTGGCATCTATGGGATTCTATGGGGTTGTGCTGATGAGGACGTGATGGGGACACCACAGAGTCACGATGGGATGTGATGAGGACATGGTGGGCACACAGGGCACTGCCTGCCCCCTTCCCCAGGAAAACCACAGCTTCTCCTCCCCCCACCCATGCGTGCCTTGCAGCAGCAGCAGCTCAGGGGGAAGGAACTCGCTGTGGCCCCACAGCTTCCCCTTTCCTCAGCACCTCTTTTGCAACTGGTGCCACCAGGATGGGAGCAGCACCCAGTGCTGGGGGTCTCATCCCATTGGGTCCTATAGGGTTCCATCCCATCAGGTTCTGTAGGGTTATGTCCTGTCCCACCAGGTCCTATAGGTCCCATCCTACTGGGGCCTCTAAGGTTCCATCTCGTCCTGTCAGGTCCCACTACATCCTACAGGGTTCTGTCTTGTCCCATCAGGTCCTGTAGAGTCTCATCCCATTCCACTGGGTCTAATAGGGTTTTGTCTCATCCCACTGGTTCCTATTAGATCCTGGCCTATCCCATTGGGTCCTGTAGCGTCCCATCCCATCCCACTGGTCCTACAGTGTTCCATCCTATAGGTCCTGCCCCATTGGTCCTATAAGGTCCCGCCTCATCCCACCAGGTCCTGTAGGGTTCTATCCCATCCCATCAGGTCCTATAGGGTCCCATTCCATCCCACCGGGTCCTTTAGGGTCCCATCTCATCAGGTCCTACAGGGTTCTGTCCTGTCCCATTGGGTCCTATAGATCCCATCCCATCCCATTGAGTTCTATAGGGTTCTGCCCCATCAGGTCCTGTAGGGTTCTGTCCTATCGGGTCTTACAGGTCCTGTCCCAACCCATTGGGTCCTAGGAGGTCACATCCCATCCCACTGGGTCCTATAGGTCCTGTCTCATTTGGTCCCATCAAATCCTATGGGATCCCATTCTGTCAGGTCCTACAGGTTTCCATCCCATCCCATCAGGTCCTGTTGGGTTCTGTCCCGTCCCATCAGGTCCTGCAGGGTTCCATCCTATTCCATCAGGTCCTATACAGTCCCACACCATCACACTGGGTCCTAAAGGGCCATCAGGTCCCATGGGTCCCATCCCACGGGCTCCTATATGCTTCCATCCCACCCATCGGCTCCTATAGGGTTCTGCCCATCCCGTCGGATCCCATAGGTCCCATCCCGTCCCCACGCGGCCGCGCTGAGTCACACCGGGACAGGCGGAAGCGCTGCTGGTGCCCGGGGCGGGACGGGGCGGAGCTGGGAGTGGGGGGGAACCGAACCCAAAGAGCAGAGCCGGCACGGACCGGGGCCGGTTCGGCGGTGGGGAGCGGGGCAGCGCGGGGAGCGGGATCTGCCGTGCGGGGCGGGGTGCGGGGCTCTGCGGGTGCACGGTGCGGGCTTTTCCTGGTGCCGGATTTGGGACTTTCTCAGTGCAGGGCTTGAGTTCTCCCCGTGCGGGCTTGGAGCTGCCCTGGTGCGGGATTTGGGGCTGTGTCGGTGTTCGGGTTCTCCTGCTGTACAGTTGGAGCTCTCCCAGCGCAGTTTTTGCCTTCTCCTGGTAAAGAATTGGAGCCTTCCTAGCGCTGGGCTTGGTGCACGGTTCGAGTTCTCCCCGTGCAGGATTTGGGCTCTCCTGGTGTGGGGTTGAGGCTTTCTCACTGCAGGGTTTGGTGCTTTCTCAGCGCGGCTCTGGGGTTCTCTTGGTGCAGGATTCAGACCCCCGTGGTGCGGGGTTTGGTGCTCTCCCGGTGCAGGATTTGGCCTCTCCTGGTGAACAATTGGAGTTCTCGCAGTGCAGACTTTTGGGGCTCTCCCGGTGCGAGGTTCGGCCTTTCCTCATTGCAGGGTTCGGCGCTTTCTCACCGTGCCCTTGGGCTTCTCTCGGTGCAGATTCGGCGCTCTCCCTGCGCGCAGATCTCGGTGCTCCGCATCACCCCGACTCCTCACATCCCATGGCAGCCCCTGGAGCCGGCAGCTGCTGGCAGGATCCTCTGGCGGTGGAGGGCACGACGTGCCGCCCGGTGTGCGGGACGCGGTGCGGGCGGGCGCTGAGCGCGGTGTTCGTGCCGAGCTGCCGGTCGGCTCCGTGCCCGGCGCTGCGCTCCCTGCGGGCCGCCTGCCGCCAGCTGCGGGGCCGGCTGCGCACCGTGCCGTTCGGCCGCCTGGCGCTGGGGGACACCGCAGCCCTGGATCTCTTCTATAACGCAGGTGAGGAGGAGAAAACTCCCCGCCCGGTGGATGCCTCGGTTTCCCCGCTCGGGGCGGTGCTTGGTGCCGTTCTGCTGAGGATGGGCTGAGGGAGCTGGGCTCGTTCAGCATGAAGAAGCTGCAGGGTGACCTCAGTGCAGCCTGCAGTACCTAAAGGGAGCCTAAAACAGGAGGGGAATCAACTCTTGGAAAGGGGGAATAACAGCAGGACAAGGGGAAATGGTTTGAAGTTGAGGGAGGGCAGATGGAGGTTGGATGTCAGGGGGAAGTTCTGTGCTATGAGAGTGGTGAGGTGCTGGAACAGCTGCCCAGAGAGGCTGTGATGCCCCGTCCATCCCTGGAGGTGTTCAAGGCCAGGTTGGACGGGGCCCTGGGCAGCCTGGGCTGGTATTGAATGTGGAGGTTGGTGGCCCTGTGTGTGGCAGGGGGTTGGAGCTTCGTGATCCTTGAGGTCCCTTCCAACCCTGGCCATTCTGTGATTCTGTCCTGCCCAGCAGATGTGGCCGTGGTGGAGCTCAGTGATGCCGCCTGCCAGCCCTCGCTCTTCTACCACCTGGGGGTCCGGGAGAGTTTCGATATGTCCCACAACGTGCTGCTCTGCTGCCGCTCTGTGCTGCCTGCCCTGCGGGCCCTGCAGGTGAACAGGGACCAGTGAGCAAATACCTGGGTGGGGGTTCAGGGGGGGTGGGCGTCTCAGTGCTATCGCCATCCATCCCCACCCTGAGCCCGCGTGGGTTCCCATGGTTGCCCCCCATCAGGTGCCCAAAGGGGATGAGGAGGGGGTGATGCCTGTGTGTCCCAGAGCCCGAATCCAGAAAAATTCAGCTTGCTTTCCTGGGAAACACCAAACCAACGGGAGCAGCGGGAGGGCAGCGCATCTAAATTGTCCCCAAACGTCACTGCGACACGAGGGAGCACAAGGGCACCCGTTCAGAGCCCCTTTTTCACAGGGTGGGGTGGCAGGGCTGTGTGTGGCCCTGCCTGGGGTTGGGGCCATCTCCGGGTGACTTTGACCCTGGATCCTGAGATCAGCTGATTTCTTTTGTGCCAGAACTCCTCATTAAGTCCCTCCTCCCTCCCTCCCTCCCTCCCTCTCCAGGAGGACATCTGCCAGAAGAACTCGGTATGGTTCTCCGCTGCTCTCACTGCTGCCATAATGCGGGGGGGGGGGGGATTGAGCTCCCCCAGCCTCGGAGGAGTGGGCAGCGCATGTGGGGAGCGAGACCCCCAACCCCAGATGCTGAGTTACGGGGAGGGGTGGCTCAGAGCAGCACCAGGAAGCACAAGGATGGTTTGGGAGCAACCCCAGAAAACCAACAGGGACCGTTCACTCTGGAGCATAATGATGGCAGTGGGGCCCAAAACCCGAATTATGGGGGGTGGGGGGTGAACAGGGACGGTGTTGCCACTCAGCCTCATCTCCCCACACCCCATCCAGGACCTGTGTGGCAGTTACACCTTCATCCCCTACACGGTGACGGCCCACGGAGAGGTGCTGTGCTGTGACAGCAGCGCTGAGCAGTGCCCCGCTGAGCTCCCCCAGCCCGGCTGCGGCACGGAGCCCTGCACCCCACTGACAGCACGGCTCGTCCGGCTGCTGGAGGCCATCCCCACCAACTCCTGGTACCAGCAGCCACCCGTGTGCACTCAGAGGAGGGCAGCCGGCCACGTGCCATAGCACCACTCAGCCCCACATCTCCGCCCCCCAACAGCGGATATTTTCGGGAGACTCTCCGACGCGACATCCGCCGGGTGCGGGAGCTGTTCCGGGGCGAGCAGCTGAGCCGTGAGCTGAGGAGCATCCAGCAGCGCCTGGACAGCGTGGAGCTGCTCAGCCTGGACATCGTGGTCAGCCTGCTGCTGTCCTACCGCGATGCGCAGGTGGGCGCCGCGCTGCCATCCCCGCTCCTCGTCAGCCCCCGTCGGCCCCACAGCCCCCAAACCATGCACAAACCGAGGGAGGTTCACCCTGGCTCAGCCTTTGGAGGCGTCCCCGCAGGATTACGACTCCATCATCTCTCTGGTGGACACCCTGCACTCCCTGCCTACCTGCGACGTGGCCGAGCAGCCCAACGTTCGCTTCCATTACGCCTTCGCCCTCAGTCGGTGAGTGGTGGTCTGGTGTCCCCACGGGGCGGGGGGCCGTGGCCCTGTTGCTGAGCACCATACGCAGGAGGAACCGTGCTGGAGACCGCGAGAAGGCTCTGTCAGTGCTGCTGCCTGCCGTGCAGCACCAGGACACGGCGGCACCCGACTTGCTCTG